AAAATAAAATGCTGCAGCGAAATCGCTGCTGTGCCGAGGAGGGGGGGGAGGAAGGGAGGGGAGGATAGAGGGAGGCAGAGGCGCGGCGGCGGCGGCGGTGAGGAAGAGGGCGGCAAGAGAAATGGAGAGAGAGAGAGAGAATTTAAATATTTAATTTATTCCTGATTTTTGATTAGATAAATCTTGGACCTGAATTTTGAATTTGAAAGTTTAAACCACTGATTTTTTGTAATTTCCTCTATGAAAAATGTGTGCTATCATACGGGACCTTAAATCCTGTGAAAACAATGCCTTGTGTAATTTTCAATACCTTTAGAGCTTGTTTGGAATGGATTAAAATCGGATTAAAATTGAAAAATTAGCTGTTATTGTTTGCTTTTATTAAACGGGTGAGACCCAATAACGACTATATTTTTAATTTAATTGGATTAAAATCTCTCCCAAACACACGTCCATGCACCAGGGCAAATACGTCATTTCATGAACCTTCTACCTGCTTGAGTTTCAAGCATTGGGAGGTCCGAATTTCCAAGAATATATGCAAAGAATACAATTTATATTTCACACACATATCCTCTTTGTTTCGCACACGAACACACAGTGCGAGAGAGATCTGCGAGAATGGCGAGTGCATCGTCATCTTCAATGAATTTGGAGGATGTGCCTTCGGTGGATCTAATGACGGAGCTCCTCCGCCGCATGAAGTGTTCATCGAAACCGGACAAACGCGTCATCCTCGTCGGTAGGTGCACCTTTTTTTAATAAAAACCCTTTTTAACGATTCAACGTTCTTCGTTTTTCTCCCTTATATTTTGGTTTGATTTTGGGGTTCGGGAAATTTAGAGGCGTTTTAGGGTTTATTTGCTAATTACGATAAATGACTGTATCGCGTTAGTTGGTTAAAAGAGATTATTGGATGTACAATAGAACAGGGTAGTCCTCAATTTTTCAGTTAGTGATTAAAAAAAAAAAAAAATCCAGGCAAAAGAGATTTATGGGAAACCCAAAACATGGGGGGAAAAGTTTTAGGGTTTATTTGTGAATTACAATAAATAAATGTGCGTCGGTTGGTTAACTAAATTTTTTGATTATAATAGCTAATCTGCAACATTTCAGTTAGAGATTTAACGTTTTTTCTTTCTAGACAAAATAGAGACTTGGGGAGCCAACATTGGGTTTGGGTGTGGTGGAATATAAAGAAAGATGAGTTTTTGAAGATATAAACATTGCAATGGTTCGCAAATGTGCTCTGTGCATAATATAAGAGGCTGATGTAATATTTCTTTTTTGATTTTCTAGACAAATAAGGCCTTACTGTAAACCCAAAATATGGGGGATGGGGTGGGGTGGGGTGGGGTGGGGTGGAATAGAAAAGGTGATGAATATATGATATAGGTCAGCACTTTAGTTTATATTCTTCTCTTATATGGATTCATGCTATTCGTGGCTTGGAAGTGAATTCTTTTGTGGGGTCTAGTTCCAATTGAATTAAGTTATTTTTTTAAGAAGGTTCTGTTGGTGCTTCAATGATTTAATTTCATAATTTTTAAGCTGAGAGCGGGAACAGCCTTCGATTCACTTTCAACTAATACTTTGTAGTGTTTGTGTATCTACAGTTGTTGATAAAGGGTCCAAACTCGTAGCTCATGTATACTATTGACCTTAAACGGTCAACAAAATCATTGGCAAGGGGTCGTGGAATATAGTATTTATATCTTTTAAGAGCTGTCTCTTAGCAAATTGTAACTTTGGAGAATAAAATTTTGAAGTTGTTTGTCATGCTGTTTTGATGCTGAGCAACTTCATTCAATCTGCTTTGCAGGCCCACCAGGATCAGGGAAAGGTACTCAGTCACCAATAATTAAGGATGAGTATTGCTTGTGCCACTTGGCTACTGGTGATATGTTGAGAGCTGCCGTTGCTGCCAAATCGCCCCTTGGGATTAAGGCTAAGGAGGCCATGGACAAGGTACTTTTTCCGTCTTTATGATTTGCATAAAACCTGCTGGATAACACCTTTTTGTGTTAATGAATTTATGCGTTGTCATGGTTTCTCAGGGTGAACTTGTTTCTGATGACTTGGTGGTTGGGATAATTGATGAAGCTTTGAAAAAGCCTTCCTGCCAAAAAGGTTTCATTCTTGACGGATTTCCCAGAACAGAAGTCCAAGCACAAAAGGTTGTTGCTTTTATGTGGCATCTGGATTTTCATTAGTGATATAATTTATTCACCTGTGTATCTTCATATCATGATCTAAAATATTGCTTTGTTTCTTAATATCAGCTTGACGAGATGCTTGAACAACGTGGTGTTAAAGTCGACAAGGTTCTTAACTTTGCAATTGAGGATGCAATCTTGGAAGAGAGAATTACTGGTCGCTGGATCCACCCTTCCAGTGGTCGCACCTACCACAACAAGTTTGCACCTCCTAAAGTACCTGGTGTTGATGATGTAATACCATATTACTTATATTTTCTCTCTTATTATGCAAATGCAAAATGTTTGCTGCCTGTTGTAGTTATGATGTGTTTAGCTTCTCTTTCTGCTGCTGCATGGGTGTAATTATCAATGCTAATTCCAGGAATTAATTAAAAATGAGAGAAAAGAGAAATGCAAGAAGCTAGGAGGGACAGAACAAAATGAAGCAATTTTTGAAATTTCGTCTCCTAACCTTTTTCCTTTGTTAGGTTAGAAGAACAAAAGAAGAGATAGATATGAAAAGGAAAGGAAATTAAATTATATTTTCTCCTCTTTTCTCCCTGCAATCAAACATAAATGACAGTAAGTTAATTGTTTGTAGAGCAAAATTCACCTTTACACAGTTGGGATTGTCGCCTCAGTGCATGTGATGGTGCTTTGCTGCTTTATATAGTAGGGATTAACCTATTATTACTGATGCTGATTTCATCTGAACATCTTTGTGAAGGTCACTGGGGAGTCTTTAATTCAACGTAAAGATGACACTGCAGCTGTTCTCAAGTCAAGGCTAGAAGCTTTCCATAAGCAGACTGAACCGGTATGCTGTTCGTTATGTGATATTCTTAGCTTTTTTCCATTCTGTGTTGGATTCCTAGCACCCACTCAGGAGGAATTATGCTAGCGAACTTTCTTTTCGAGATTAAAGATGGAAAAATGAAGTTGCAAAGATTATACCTTATTCCACCACTTGTGTCATTTACTATTATGCCCCTGTCATACTTTACCAGCTTAAATCGAGGTTAAATTAGCTTTTTAGTTTTTCTACCTCCAAAATTTTTCCAATTTGGGAAAGAAAAGTCTACTAGGAGTTACCCATCCTCCCCTGATGTTATCCCTTTTCCAAGAACTATGCAAGTTACAGATATTTGTAACTTTAACAGGTAAAACATGTCCTGTTCCAGAACTAGTCAGCTCACAGTTAGTCTAGCACGGGCATTGTTAACTGATCAAAAAAGAGACCCACGGGACTGTCAACAAAGACAATCAATATGTCACTGCTGATTCATATTAAAATGCTTCAATAAAATTGAACTTGTTATACTACAAAGAAACAGGGAATAGAAATAAATATTTGCAAGTAGCTAAACCTGATTTATCACGTGTCTATTTTTAGACTTTTAGTTAACCTTAAGCAAGGCAACCTTGGATTGTCTTCCTTTTTAGCTTTGAAAATTGGATTAACCAATTCCAGTCAACATGGAAATTAGTGACTATCAGCTTCTTTGGACAGATTACTTTTTACTTGCGTATATTCCAACTTCACTTTAAAAAATATTATTTTATTCTAAAACTTAAGTATGGTTAGCGTACTTGAGCATTAGCCAAATACACACTGAATGTCAGCATTCCCGATCTGAAATATCGTTACTTATCATGTATGGTTTTACATGCTATTCCTATATTGAATAGAGAAATCATCATGTCACTTGGATTCATGCATTCATAACGTATATATCAGTCTTCGAGTCCCCTGCATATTTCAGTTACTCCTTTCTTTTCCTTGAAATGCAGGTTATCGATTATTACAATAAGAAGGGTATCGTTGCAAACCTTCCAGCAGAAAAACCACCTCAGGAGGTGACAGCAGATGTCAAGAAGGCACTCTCCTGATGAAAGGTTTCCATTTTTTCGACTAGACCTAAATATTTAAACTTGGATTTAGGTCCATGTTTTCTGATACATTATTAAATTACTGCTGAGAGGCAGCAAGGCTTTGTGGCTGTTGCTAACCCAAAACACCCAGCGTTGAGATGTTTAAACAAGTTAGAAAATAATTGTTGACAGCGGCTTTCCAAAGGCTATATTTATGTTTCCAACCACTTATAGTTGCCTTCATATTTATATTGGGTTAGACGCTGGTGGTTACTGAACTTTATTTTCATCTGATCACTAAAGCTTGTAGTTGAGCTTAGAGCTTGTTTGGGAATGATTTTAAGAAAATCATTTTTTGTCATTTTCAACCACACACTCTAGGGACACACATTTTTTTTTTTCTATTTTTTAACAGCACAAGTCCGAAAAATCATTATACATTGAGTGTGGGACAAAAGTGATTACAAATAATAAAAATCGAACAAGGGCTTGTTATAATGTTGGACAGGTAGAGGGTGTTTTAGAATACCACGTTGGAAGACCATGAAAATGGGCGGTTAGAGAGTATTATAGAAGAATCATGCTGCTTGTACAATCTTAGTCGACAACTTCACGCTTGGATGTATCACATTCATCCATTTTAAAAATAGTTAAAAACTACTTTTTAAATCAATTGCTCGAATTTTGACAATATCAAGGTTGTCAACAATGGTTGTCAACGAGGTTGTACAAATAGCTTAAGTGATAGAGCTAATCCACTTGGTCTCATTTTGTAATGAAGAGAGATGCTACTCAAACAGGGCCATTGACAAGGGAACGGGAGCTGAGGTGGGGTGAGCCCTTGATTTTGATTTGAATTGCTACAATTCAAATCAAATTCCACGTCAGCCTCGCCTCTATTTATTTCCGGGTCGGTAGTCTGTTTGAGTACCATTAGTGTATAATGAATCGTGCATAATCATGGATGACAATTTTGTAGATAACATATCATGTGGAAATTTATCATTGGATAGTTTGAAAAATAACTTTTTTTTGCAACCAATAGTATTTTGACAACTCATACATTGTCAATCACATTGTCATTCATGGTTGTACAAATATATTAATCATATACATATTTTCACATTCAGAAGACAGGCTAGCAAGAATGAACACGTCCTAGGCCTAGGGGCTGCTGGCTTCGAAACTTCGATAATGCGAACATGTTCAATCACATAATTCTTCTATTAGGGTGTTATTTTCGTTCAAGATACTTTCACAATGCAAATATATTGGGGACAATCCCTATTGGGAAAGACGCCTACAAAGGCTCTATTTGATTCTCCCTAAGATTTGTTACCTTGTTCGACTAAACTCATCTCTGCATTCTATTCTATCATGTTGAAACTCCACCTGTTAATCTGTAAACGTGTCTTTCGGGTACCTGTGAGATGGAGCCAATTTATTGATCCTATAGCTAAAATCCATTACCTTGGTCGACTGAAGCCATTGGCTTTGCATTCTATTACGTTGAAACTCAATCTGTTAAACTCTGAATCTGCCTTCCAGGCTCCCCTTGTTTGTTCTAATAAAGGAGATAGAGTTGATTCAAGTTTGTTCCAAGGAAGAAAGACCAATACAAGTAATCTGTACTGCCCTTGAACGCAAATTCATTCAGTAAAACAATCAATTTTTGCAAATAATCATGCATGGAAACAATTCATTTAGCAACGGTTCAGTTGAAAGCCAATCAGTTTTGCACGATGGGTTTTCAGAAATCTCGTGATAGATACAACGAACGACCGTGTGGAAGTGGTAAACTGCAGCAAAATGGCATATCAAAGAACTCAAAGATCTTCCAAACGACACCTAGAGAGAGTATGAAGTCCCGGAGAATACACTAGAACTATAAATCAAGAAAAAAATACACGCGGGGGACACAGGCAACAAAAAGGCTGTCAACAACATTTGGGTTATTACACGACATAAAATCCAATTTTTTTAACTTCAGAAACAGTTTGCATTCTTCCAAACTAAAATTGCAAATAGGACATCATTAAAGAGTGCAAATTCTTAACAAATCCTACATCCTAGATGTCTACAGTAATTTTTGCATCCAATTGCGAGAACTCTTCATAGAACGCCTTGAAGTGCTCGTATGAATGCTTAACATCATCAACTGCACACATTTCTCTAATACTGTGCATTGACAATTGAGGAGCTCCAACGTCAACTGTGCGAATGCCTACACCACTTGCCAAAATGGGACCAATGGTTGAACCACAGGGCATGTCATTGCGAACCACGAAATCCTGCAATTTGACATTCATCAAAGTTATATACAATTCACTACAAAATCCCATCAATGAGTATAATGTAATATGCATAAAAAAATTCCTTTTTCTCCTGTATAACTGATTGCTTATCTTGCTTGCTTTTCCTTGTTCAAGAAAGTGGTGATCATCAGAATTTAACGAGGACATAACTACTACCAACATGTTCTGAAAGCATTAAAAACATTTTAAATTATATATAGATAGAAATTAGTGGTAGATAAGTGATTAATACTTGTGGGTCCCTTGAAATGTGTAGATAAAAAGTGGCTTGAATATTTGTAAACAACTTATAAACATGAGCCAAACATAGTCTAAGATAGGATAAGGACCTAAGTAACAAATACATGGTGGGATGCAATGTTCAAGAAATGGAAAATTTAAGAAATGTGATTTGATATCTTGTATAAGTTTTGAAGTCTCAGACGATATATAGAAAATAATTTGAGGAATGCTAAATTGAGTGTTCTAGAACGCAATTGTATACTGGCCGTCGATTGGACTAAGATGAATGACATCTGCCACTCAGGTTAAAACACTGTTAGTTACCCAACTTATACCGTTGTTTCACTTTACTTTTTTTTTGTTCCAAATTAGTCGCTGAATTTTCATATCTTTTCCAGTTTAGACACTCCGATTGCTTAACAAAAATACTAATATAGTAAATACGACGTAGGGGACACTTACAAAATTTTTCCTTATACATGTCCTACATTCATATATGCTACTGTTACTTTTTCTGTTCTCTTGCAAAGCACTTGTATGGTATATTGCATTTTCAATAATGCTACTTGCACAGGATTAACTGACAGGGGCTTCGACGGGTGCTGTGTTGGTAGCACCTGTATGGCTTTTTTTTTTTTCCTCTAACTGTTCAATGAAATAATGACACGTGTCTCCCTCGTAAAAAAACCCTGTCACTCACCTTGTTCTTGTAGCAGGGTTGATGCATTTTTGTCCAGCTGGACAATAAGATGTGCTAATAGATATTTCACTAATTTAACACAAGGTACACGGAATACCCAAAAGTAAACAAAAAAGAAAATAAAGTGACCAATTTAAACCAAAATAAGTTAGGTGACCAAAGTGAAATAACATTATAAAGTTGGGTAAATAATACTGTTTCTGACCCTCGGTCGGTTTCATGTCTTCATGTTCTGTTATGGTTGGTAGGACATGGAAACATGGTTCGGACACCCAAAGAAAACAATTTGGCTACTTTCATCCGGTGATATTATCAATTTTATTATTTAATGCTCATCAGTTTCTTGTTGTCAATCAATCGAAACAGTTTTAAAACTTTTTACTATTCCCAACCTGTATAGGAAGACCGTGCTTGGTTGCTATCTCCCGGAACACGAAGGAAGTAATTGCATTGGTTGCATATCGTTGATTTGCATTGTGCTTAATGACTAGCCCACTGTGCATTTTAGGTTGATGATTCTCTTCATGTTTGTCCTGTAAACAAAAATAAATCATCATAATGCAGAAGATAGTCAATACAGAATCCCGATAATTGGAGGCATCACACGTACCATATAATTAGGATGCAAGGCATGAGCCATGTCAGCTGAGACCAGGAAACTCCTCTGAATTGCTTTTGGTAGCAACTGTATGAAAATCAATTAACGAGAGAGAACAGCAGATTAGCCGGGGAAAAAAAATGAAATCTGGTAAAATAACTTCTTAATAAAGGTAATCAAGGCATTCCAAAAGCAATGACGCCTCATAGAATTATCAGAAATTATGTTAATGGAATCTAATAATACGACTAAGTCACTAAAATCGGCTATTAGTTTTCAGAGGACATTTCCACATGAGAAGCTAACGGTCAACTAAAAAACCAGTAAATGTAGACATTTCAGTTGAGTGCCCTTGCCATTTAGCAAATTAATTCATTAACACTTCATCGACCATCTACTGTTTTCCCCTGGATGAACTCATTTTTGAGAAAATAAGACATTTTATGATAAAAACATCATCAAATGCAGACCACACATACAGAAAGCCAGAATCCCTTAATATTTGGACTAACATAATAGTTAATGCCGACGGTGACAACCCAATAACGAATCGAACTAATTACTTGAATAATGCCACAGGAGTCAAATTTAGTTGCTCAAGTTCATCAAGAAAAATGGGGAACAAAGCAAACAAACGTTGGGTTTTGACCTGGTAATTTCAGTTGCAATGACCGCAAAATATGCAAGAAAATACAGGTCTACAATAAAAAAGGAAATTAAAAGCTATAGCCCTTGTTTGACAAAGTTTTTGAGATTATAAATTGGTGGGTTCTATGAAATGTGTGGTTAAAACTGAAGCTTTATAATCTGAAAACAGCTTACAAACAGGAGCATGAGTTTCGATTCATTTAGGATGATATGTTTTAGCTTAACGAGTGGATCATTACATTTCTTTACTTGAGTTTTGGCTTTTCAAGGCAAGTTGACTTTTAATAACTTTCTAAAAATGTAGGCCAATCTGCTGAATCCCTTTCAAATTTGGCAGTGTAGAAAATGAGGAAATTGCTTCACATTTGAGAAACCATTAAACCTGTGCCATGCTTAAAAGGAAATAATTAAAGACCAATAAGATAAGGCGAGCTGGAACGATAAAGTGACATGAACCTATTGGTACCTTTGTATCTGAGCTAAAGGAACTTGTTATTCGTGATAAAGCATCCAACATGACAGGAGATCCAGCTCCTTGTGCTGAAGAGGATCCAACTTCCTCATGATCGAACAAGGCCACCATTCTTACACCAATCTCATCTTGGAGACTACTTTCAGAGGAGGTCGACTCGATCAATGCCTGAAATGAAAAGCAAAAAGAAACAAAACCAAAATGAACTGCTGATGGGAAGACTGCTCTCCTTCATATGCATTCAAGCAGCAGTGATACTTTAACATCAATGATAATACAGACTGATGATGCCCAATATATAGTGATAAGATTGAGATTAATTAATCACTCACTTACCGTAAAAAAAACTATTCTAACCTATTTTATAAAAGGACTAGTGTGCAAGGCAAGAAGGTATGACAATATTTACTCCTCTCTTTCTGACTTGATCGTCGGTGGACCTTCTGAATATTCTCCTTCGCTATCTTTTATGCACATATATGAGAGCCTTGTGAACAGGAAGGCTAGAGGAGCCCGAGCACCAGCCTCGAGCTTGGTATTTGTCGTGTTAATTTTTGAATGAAATCATGTGTGATTTAGCTGAAGAAGTAACATAAATTATAGGCTCAAAAAAGCCAGCACCAGGGCTTATATTGCCAAACAACTAACATTCATATTGAACATCTTTACCAGACTTGGCATCGTAAATGCCACAAGTACTTCCAGCAATGCCTGTTCTAGATTAATATCAACTGTGTTCCTCTATTTTATATTTCGTTTACTGGGTAAGCATTGGTAAGAATTCAGAACACAGAAAGAGACTTGACAAGTCTATGCAATCAACTTAAAAAATGATATGACAATTGCAGGCAATGAGCAGAAGGCAGGGAAAGATGTCGAATGCATGCATATTACAGCCAAAAAACAAAAGAAAAATAACGTAATTAAGATAGGACGTGAACCTAATTTGGTATCAATGAAAGGAACCAAAGAAAGGGAAATAGATTTTGACATTCAAACCTGGCATGTTTACACATCTTGAATTGAATACATCAGTAAATTAACTGACCAACAAAGTTTGCATAAGCTCATGCGCACACACCTTTAAAGAACAAAATGACATGCAGAGATTATCTAGTCTTCCAGAGAAAATGAATTCCTTCATGGCACCAGCAATAATACTTGGCTGAGTATCACATGCTTGCAATTCAAAATCACATATGTCATCTGGTTCACAACCTGTCTGAGCTGCAATAAGCTGGATTAAGAGGAAGAAGGGAAAAAAAAAAGTGATGAGAACATATTCATAATCTATAAAATAAAAGCTGAAATTAACAAGGTGTTATGACATTTGAGAAATTTCTCAAACTCCCTGCACGAAAGTCTAGACATAAGAAGTAAAACAAGCAAGACAACCTAACCAGAAAGTTTCTTACCTGCAAAAGAAGGGAATGATGCTTTTGACTGTCTTTTGTTTCCTTGATCTTCTTCCCATCAGTTGGAACTTCATTTTCAACTGAACCATTCTCAGCAACTGGTTTGTTGAGCTCAGCCTGCATGAAAAGTGTAACATTGTTTAAAGAAGCATATTTTGATGAATAAAACATAATATCATGATGTTAAAGAATATTGTACTCTGTTCAATTCCTTTCACGGAAAAAGAATAGAATAAAATAAATTGATTGCATTCACAATTCTTTTATAATGAACCTGCTTTAAGGAAATGACGAGAGGTCATATTCTTCTCGATTATTTGCCAGTTGGTGGGTGCCAATCTTACAGTGTTAATTTAAGGCAACACTGAAAATTCAAGCTACTTTAGAAAGACTAATGTCCATAAGATAGAATGATATAATACAATTCCTGAATAATATGGGCTTTAATAAGAAATTGAAACTACTCCAGAAATCCTAGTTTGTTGTAAATTTTAATAATGTTGAAAGAAGTTCTGCTCTTTTATAATAGGTGGAGTCAAATATAATCATCAGATAAAATTTTTCCCATTTGATGCCCACTAAAAAGAGTTTCTTTGGGGGAAAATGAGTTTTGGAATAGTGATTTTTTGGAAAATGTGTAGTTAAAAAATAAGCAAAATTTTTGGGTTTACGTGTAAAATATTATATCGTGAGAATGTATGGTTGAAAATGAGTTTTAGAAAAAAAAAAGAGTTTTTGAAGAATGGTAAACAAACAAGGGCTTTGTTTTGACATTACATGTGTGTCCATACAAGCAAACAGATAATCATTCTTCTTAGCCCCCATTTGGCTCCCATTATGTCAAATTATAATTTTTGAAATAGTGTTTTCTTGGAGAATGGGTGATTGAAAAAAAAAAGAAATTTTTTTGGTTTACGAGTAATATTATTTTATGGCAGATTGTGTGGTTGAAAATAAGAGAGAAATTATAATTTCAAATAATTGGGGCAAAACGGGGTCTAAATATTGTAAACTAATGCTCCACATCACGTCCGGCTTGCATTTAACTAGGTTTAGAATTGTTGTTTAACCAAAGACATATGCCAAACGTGTCGTGTTTTTCAGTGTAACCTTTATCAAACATAAGCACTGGACTTTATATACTTGCACTACCAAACCTCGAATATACGACTCTGTTTGTTACCACATTTGAGAAAATTAAAATAACATAAAAGTCCGTGTTGCTCGACATGTACATGCAAGAGAAAACAGTAGAAAGATGAAAGCAAATCTAATAAAAATCAAATCATTCAGAATCAATGTGTGATTTAGAGCATGTTTGCCTAAGCTTAGAAAGTTACAAGTAAATAGGTAATTTTTATAATAAAGTAGGAAATAAGTTACTATGAGGAAAGAAAAAGGTAACATATACAAACATGTTTGCCCATTGGAAACACTAACTTTTCTATTGAGCTTAGCCAAACATGCTCTAAATATCCTTAAGCATCCATGAAGAAAAAATATAACTAGCTTAATCTATTTCTAAAATTACCTTAACTGATGTAGCCAATACTGGAGCAAGATGACTCTGTGTGTTCACCTTGAATCCATCGTTAACTCCTCTAATCCAACAAAGTTACAAAGACAACAGCATATGTGTTATCAAAATAAACACGCGTCGTCTAATGACCAATTTAAGAATCTCTATAGGAAGAACCTGTCCAAGTGAATTGCCAGTGTAGGGATTCGCATTATGGGCTCCTTAATTCTGACAAGCTGGTGTGAGTAGGATTCTGAACCATCTTTCCGTTCTCTAATTATTATTCTCCCGGCAATACTTAAATCACGATCAAACCATGTGTGCCACAAGCCACTTCCATAGGTTTGCACCCCAAGTTCCAAAAACCCACCTTTCGATACCTGATATTTTCTAATTCAAATTTTAGCACTAACTCACGAAATTATCTTCTTCTCAACCAAAAAAAGGGGTTCAAATGTAAACCATAGCACAAGTCAGCAATCACCTTTGAAACTGGCTTTACTTTCAGGCAGGGACTGTCAGTGTGAGCACCAACTATATAAAATCCATTCCCTGCAACATATCTAAGCAAAAACCGAAGCTATATCAGCCACTCAATTCATATTCAAAGTCCAAACATTTTTTGCAATTTCCTTGACGTGTACTCTTACTCACGAGTATTAAAAACATACTTATACACATCAGAATTAAACCATGAGAACAGAGTTAAGAAATCCTCTCTCTCAACAACTATACACAGAAGACAATACTAGGTGCTACAATATAACTACATAGATTGAGAGCTCATTTTTTTATTGTCCTTTTTGACTTGTTTCAATATATTTAAAGAATAAATGAGAACAGAAACCATCTTTTATCCAGAAAAATGAAATATAGCAATTGGAAATGATAATTAATGGTTGCATACTTTCCACCAATAGCAAAAGCAACAATAGTGGAGTGATTCCTGGTGAAGAAATATTTCTTGCCAACTCGTAAAACCCAGTCCTCTCTCTCTGATATTTGTTCATACCCTGCACTTCTTAACTTCTTCTTGGCTTCCTCTGATAAATAATTTCAGAACCAGAAACCAAAAGTTAAAACCATAATATTTGTACGAGTTTGGCTAAGCCTAAAAAGGAGTAAATTACTTTTAAGTGACATTTTTTCACAAATATGTTTGCATAAACACTTTCAGTCACATGAGTCACCGTTTTATGTAAGTCTCTCTTGCTGTACTTACTTTAATATCAAAATAAGTAACTAACTTCTGTCAATAAAATTTACTTCAAAACTTTTTTTTTTTACTTATAAATGAACTTTTAAGCTTAAAAATATGCTATTAATCAATAAATAAAATTCAATTCCCGGAAAATGAAAGAAAGAATTTTTTTTTTGTTTGGAATAGGTACTTTAAATAAAAAGTCAAATCATGACTAAAACACAAAAAATAAAAATAAAAATTGTTTGTATAAAAAATATAATCTTGAACACAATCCAGAACCCAGAAACTAAAACATAAAAACAGTCTAGAAATCAACAGATAAGAATTCAACCCCTAGAAAATGACAGAAAGAACAGGAAAAAAATGTTTTTATGAGAAAACTATGAAATAAATAAAAAAATCCAATCTTCAAAATTATCTTGGACTGTAATACAGAAATTAGATCATTACCGACTGCATGAAAAGCTGTTGGAGAGGCATTCAAGAAATTAACAAGATCGGCTGCCACTGAGGATTCCATTGAGATAAGGCTCTTTCAAGATTCTCCAGTTACTAAGCGTAAAAATGGCGTTTGGTTTTACTTTAGTGTGCACGGAAATTTAAATGGAAATAGTTTAGAAGCCCACAAAGCCCAGTATAAAAGAATTTTAGGGTCTGTTCGACTGTAAGAGTGAAATTTGGATGAAAAGAAAATGAATTACAGGAAATTGATACCTAGAATTGTTTTCCTGAAAATTATTAATTAATTGTGTTTGATTGATATAATTTTCCACCTGAAAAATGTTGAAATTTTGGATCTTTTGGTATTCATTTGACTTTATTTTTTATGAAAATTGTACACTAAGGGGAAAAAAATTACAGATAGAAATTGTTTCTATTGCCAAAAAAAAATCTGAAAAATCATTTTTCCACCAAAGTGGTGGGAAAACCAATTCAATGAAAATATGAAAAAGGGGTCACGTGTGGGGGTTGGGAGGAAAATATTTTGTCAAGAAAATTTAGGTTATTAAACAAGATAAAAGTTGGAACTTGGATGAAAAACAGGATGAATAAAACGGGGCCTTAGGTCTTTTTCTATAGAAGGGACAAGGAGCACATATTTCGACTCCACCAAGATTTTTTCTTTAATCCGGCCTGTCATGATAGATCAATCAAGAATCCTCCAAAGTGCTTGTTAATCAATTTCGTGGAATTTTGAATTATTTTAGACTATATTGGTATATTGTGATTACGGGGGTTAAATGAATCGAACTTGACCTTTTAACTCGTGAGATTCAATAAAAATGCGACTCAACTCGTCTCTTGATAAGGCGAGCCAAGTCGCATGACCAAATTGTTAATCAATTTATAGTGAGACGAGCGGCTCGCTCCATTTAACGGCTCTAATTGTCACCATTTTCCAACTTATTTTATATTTCGATCTTCATCATTTTTCTTGACATTTAACTCCTCGATGTTTTACTAGCATTTCTTTGCTATTCGAATTTTTAGTTTCAGCTTTCAATCAAGAGATAGACTTACTTTATGATTATACGAGTAGAAAATTAAATATATTGAAAAAAAAAATAACTTGTGCATTTTCCTATCCAACTCCTCTCTAACCCTCCATTTCCAAACAATCATGCTATACTTACAATCTCATTTACATTAAGTTTGACACTATTTATTTATTCTCTTTAAGGTTTCCATATGAGTAATGCTATTCATCCCCACTGGGGATGAAAATACAGTCTAGGTGGCGCTAATGTGACATTATTTTTAACTCGTGAGATTCAATAAAAGTGCGACTCAACTCGTCTCTTAATAAGGCGAGCCAAGTCGCATGACCAAATTGTTAATCAATTTATAGTGAGACGAGCGGCTCGCTCCATTTAACGGCTCTAATTGTCGCCATTTTCCAACTTATTTTATATTTCGATCTTCATCATTTTTCTTGACATTTTACTCCTCGATGTTTTACTAGCATTTCTTTGCTATTCGAATTTTTAGTTTCAACTTTCAATCAAGAGATAGACTTACTTTATGATTATACGAGTAGAAAATTAAATATATTGAAAAAAAAAAAAATTCGTGCATTTTCCTATCCAACTCCTTTCTAACCCTCCATTTCCAAACAATCATGCTATACTCACAATCTCATTTACATTAAGTTTGACACTATTTATTTATTCTCTTTAAGGTTTCCATATAAGTAATGCTATTCATCCTCACTGGGGATGAAAACACAGTTTAGATGTCGCTAATGTGGCATTAAATGATAGGTGAAATTAAATAAGTCATTTAATTTCACCTTTCATTTCACCTATCATTTACAGCCATCTAGACTGTGTTTTCATCTCCAGTGGGGATGAATAACATTACTCTTTCCATATGAGTAATGCTATTCATCCCCACTGGGGATGAAAACACAGTCTAGGTTGCGCTAATGTGATATTAAATGATATGTGAAATTAAATAAGTCATTTAATTTCACCTTTCATTTCATCTATCATTTACAGCCATCTAGACTGTGTTTTCATTCCCACTGGGGATGAATAACATTACTCTTTCCATATGAGTAATGCTATTCATCCTCATGATTCATCCCCACTGGAGATGAAAACACAGTCTAGATTATACACGTTTTTAAAATTTTATTCTCGTAATTTTTTAACTCCTTTTCAATGGGATCGAATTATATGAATTGATGTGATTTAAAGAAATTTTTCTCTTAAAGAGAGCATGAAGTGACACTAGTAAATTGACACAATATTTTGTATGATTTATTTTTCTAATGTGAGAAATGAAAGGTAGAGATACTGTACTAGGCGAAGACAAATTATGTTATATATTTAGTTATTTAGCTTATCCAAATCATCACCTAAGGACATACTAAGCATTTTATGACATTTGACCATCATTATTTACCTTAATCATGGGCTCAAGAGAGTGTTATTGCTCAAAATTGGAGGAGTTTTCTTCTCTTTCAAACTTCCCGAAGCGAAAGCCTTTTAACCATAGTTGGAATTTCCTCTGTATCCATAGGGATTCGCAGTTAATCATTCCCTCAAAATAACACACTGAGCCCCTGCTCTAATGTCACTTATTAAATCGGTGAAAATCTATTGGTGTTCATAATGAAATATATAGGGATTCGCAGTTAATCATTCCCTCAAAATAACACCCTGAGCCCCTGCTCTAATGTCACTTATTAAATCGGTGAAAATCAATTGGTGTTCAAAATGAAATACTAATTTTTTTATGATATTCGAAATTCGATTACCATTGTCTATGTAACCTAATTCATGAGTTTAAAAGAGACATTATTGCTACCAACAAAGTGGAGAAACTAGGGGCGTAGCCACATGCAGTCCAGTGCAGGCATAAACTTTTGGCCAAACCCATTTTTTTTGTTTTTTTGAAGTGTAAGATTTGATGAAGATGAGATGCAATAATATATGTAGACGCAGAGTTTGAGAAGTAGATGCTATAGCTTGAATCTGCATCTTCAATTGCAAGTATATATCTTCTATCAAAGTTTTTCCTCTATGTTGTCTTCTTTTCATACTTTGATATGTCTACATCTTGGTTTGTTTGAATATTCTTGAAATTCATTGTTCAAACTCCAAAGAAAGAAGGAACATTGAAGGGTTTTGAAGAAAAAGAAAAAGTGAAACTTCTTCATTTTATGAAAACACATTCATATTAAATGAATTTAAAGGAGCCTTTTTAAAAAAAATACAAATTTCTTTTGTGTTTTGTTGAAATTTAGATAACTTTAAGCTTCAATTACTATCATTTTGGTTTCAGCTAAGTGATATTACTCACCTTTTATCGAATTAAAAAACTATTTTTTTCTCCTATTTTCTCTCATCTTTATATATAATTGTCAATTTGTTTAAAAACTTAAATTAGAAATAGAACACATTTGAATTTAGTGTTGACCACACTCCTTCACGTGCATCTCATATTTATCCTTTTATTAAATGTGACGTGTTTACGATTCTCATAAATCGATAACAATAAAACTTAACTAAAGATCTCCATCTCAATCAAATACTATATAAAGTCACTTTTATAACCTTAAAAAATTGTAAACACACAACCATTTAGCTCTTGTTTAAATATCATTTTTTAGAAAGAATATTGTAAAAAAATGATTTTTTTTTTTAGAGAACACATAGTTAAAATGTCGGATAAATTTTAGATTTTATTGGAAGAACATAAGATTAAAACTAAGTTCGAGAAAAATTACATTTTAAAAGTAAGTACAAACATTGACTTATTTATTTGAATCTAAAACTTCAACAAAGTAGCTAATTAATTATAAATTAAAATTCATATAAATAGGGTAATTATTATTTTAGCCCTTATGAGTTTTATCCACATAAGCTGATCACTGCCAAACATAGAATAACATGAAAACCTCCTTAAAGAGGAAAAAGAAGAAGACGGTATAAATGAATATAAAGAAAAAAAGGCAGTGTAACTTATAAATTATATCATTTTTAATATTGTCGTAATATTATTTTATGTTTTACCATTATTAAATCCATGCCCGAAAATCAAAATCCAACCTTGATTGAATTTTGCCCGCATTGGACAATATTCCTAGCTTCACCTTCGAAAGATACCATTCATGACCCAAATTTTGCAAGAGAAAACCAAAGAAAATATCCAAACAAAATCAGATGCCTAGAATTTTGTAGTTTAATGTCGTGGGGTCTTTAGGTGCCCACAAAATTTAATACAATAAAATGACAGCCAATTCTTTTCAAACCATATTTAAGCCAGTGGTTGGCTTCATTTTTTTTTAAACTATTTTTTCTATATACTCAATTTTTTGCCAGATATTCATACAATAAAATATTTTATACACGAATTTGGAATTTTTTCCTATTTTTTAACCACGCGTTCTCCAAAAATTTACTATTCAAAAAAATAAAATTGCCACCAGATAGTGGCTAAAAAGGGGATTATTTGGCTAAAAAGGAGATGAGTTATTATTTCAATACTAAGGCATGAACTAGTTTTGAAATAATAATAATAATCTAACATAGTTCATTCTCTTGCTCATGGTGTGTTGAACAGTTGAAGAGACGGAAAGGATAATGAGATGAGAAGAAAAATAAAAAGCGATGAAATTCAAACGTGCTTCATTCATAATAGTAACTTATAATCTCATTTTCTTTAAATTTATTTTCAATCACACGTACTAATGCACATTCGTAAAGAAAGAAAAAAATTAAAAAAAATTACTATTACGAAATTCATTTCTCCTAAAAAGGGAACTCAACAAATTCTTAGCCCATGTTTGATAATGATTAAAATCCAAATTTTAATCTAAGTTAAATTCAACTCCCGTTTGGGTTCCATTAAAATGTATTTTTGAGTAAAAATGTATTTTGGAACAGTATTTTTTGGAGAATGTGTGGTTAAAAAAGAATGAAAAATTTTGAATTTACGAGTAATATTATTTTATTAAACAATGTGATTGCAATTAATAAAGCGGAAAATGCATTAAAAATTAAAGTAGAACCC